GCAGTGCTGGGAGGGGGGCTATGGGGTGGCTATGGAAAATTTTGGGGTGGCTATAGCCCATCCCATAACCCCCCCTCCCAGTGCAGCCCCTGCCTGCCCTGAGTGCAGCCTTGACCCAGCCCCTCCCCTACCAGGAAGAGTCTGCAGCGGGCAGCCCACCCTCACCCTGCACACAAATCTAGGGGGGACATGCTTCCCCCAGAATGCAGGCAGAGTGGGGAGTTGCCTCCCTTCCCCACCCCCCACGCCGTCTGGACAAGCTGCCTGTAGTTCCACCCTACACCCCACCCTGGCTGGGCAGTGTCTGCCCATGCCCCAGCCCCACTCCCTCTTTCACTGTGGGAGCCTCGATCTGCTGCGCCCTGCCCCCCACGCCCATTTCTCCTGACAGACTTACTGGCTGGATGCTGCTTTCCAAGCTGCCAGGCTGCATATCAGCAGTCGAATTGGTATCGTTCAATATGGCTGGTTAATAATTGGCCATCAGTATTGGCCAAAAAAATCTTTATTGGTGCACTCCTACTGTGAAATACATTGCAGTGTGCCCTATAGATGTGCCTGAAGGAGCAATACTAATAAATCTGTCTTATGAAAGATAACATGCTCCTAGGAAAGCATCTTGAATTTCCACTGACTTCCTCACATGACTGGTTTGTTGGCTTGCACTGTGAGCAGTTTGTTAGATATTCTGTTGATCAATGTGCATCTGTTTCACAGTATCTAAAACTGACTTCATTTTCAAGCAGCAAGGTTTGAGTTTGTGCTTGAAAGCTTATCTAACATCTCTCCCAAATATAGAGTTGATCCAATAAGAGATACCACCACAAATAAAACCTTGCTTCTTCATTTTCAAGGTCTCTGTTGAAGATCTAAGCATAGTTATGCAATTGCAATAAGTGTAATTTGTTACCTTTGTTAAAAGGTATCAGCTTGAAAAAGGTAGTCCTTAAAATTGTTAATTTCAAGAACACATGCAAGTGTTAAGTTAGAGGAATATTCTTCTCTGGATTCATGCCTAAACCCTGGATAAGGTAGGGTGCCAGGACAGGGTAGGGAAATTTGGGATTGAGGGCAGGTGTGCATATATACACACACAGCCCATGCCTCCGCAACCCCCTCTCTATGTGGATGAACACACGTGCACACACAGAGCCCCAGCCCTGCTGCTCCTAGGAGCCCTGATGGCAGAGTGGGGCCAGGTGGGACAGCACAGATGCCCACAGCTGGGCTCCATTCCCTGCATGCAGAGGCTGGATCCAGCTGGGAGCTGCCCCTGTGTGGCCCCTGCCCCAGGCTCCACTAGCCCCATGATGACACACAGCACCTCTCCCCCCACCAGCAGCTGCCTGGGGCTGCCATGCACGGCCACAGCAGCACAGCATGAGGATACAAGTGGCAGGGTGGAGGAGCTCTGTGGCCACATAGGGCAAGCTGGGAAGCCCAGGGTGTACCGCACAGGGGCCACTCCTAGTCGTGTCCATCCTTTGCATGTGGGGGATACAGCCCAGCTGCAGGCCTCCGTGCTGGCCCACCCTACCCTGCTCTGCCATCCTGGCTCACCCAGAGCAGGTACCTGCCTCAGCCCCCTCCCCTGGCCTGCTTTGCCCTGCCCCTTCTGATTCCTGTCCCAGACAGGAGGAGCAGTGCTCAGCCCAGCGCCCGCCACAACCCTCCCCTGCCTCTGAATGCCAGGCTGGGCACATGTGGGTGGGGTGGCACCGATCCAGAAATTTGCTTCAATTTTCACCAACGAATGGGGACACTGGGATGGCCTACAAAATCCAGGACTGTCCCAACCAAACGGCCATATGGTTACCTAGGATAACGGGAGGCTCGTTCCTGAATTGGCTTGAAAGAGGCTGCAGTTTTGAAAAAATGAAGTGATTTTGACTAATTATAGTGATCATTAACAGAAAATCTTGCAGTAGCATTTTAAATAGTTAGATAAAATGGCAGAGCTGGTTGTGATGCAGTAGATTCATAGAGTCGGAAGGGACCTCAGTGGGCCATATAGTCTGACCCCCTGTCCCTGGCAGGCAAGAAAAGAAACACCAACCATGGGGTCATGTGATCTCAGCCGGGTGCTTGTCCAGTCTCTTTTTGAAGACCCCCAAGGATGGAGCGAGCACCACCTCCCTTAGGAGCCCATTTCAGATTCTGGCAACCCTGACCATGAAGAACCTTTTCCTAATGTCCAGCCTAAACCTTCTCTCTAGTAGCTTATGGCCATTGTTCCTTGTCATTCCAGGGGATGCCCTGGTGAACAGATCATTGCCTACTTCATGTTGCTCTCCCCTTATGAATTTGTACGCCACCACAAGATCACCTCTCAGCCTTCTCTTGGAGAGGCTGAAGAGGTTAAGGTCCCTTAGCCTTTCCTTGTAGGGCCTTCCCTGCAGGCCTCTAATCAGGCGAGTGGCTCTTCTTTGGACCCTCTCCAGGTTGTCCTCATCCTGCTTGAACTACAGCACCCAGAACTGGACACAGTACTCCAGCTGCGGTCTGACCAGTGCCTCACAGAGGGGAAGAATCACTTCCCTGGACCTGTTTGTGAAGCACCTACGGATGCACAACAAGGTGTGATTGGCTCTGACAACTGCTACATCACATTGGCGACTCGTGTTCATCCTGGAGTCAACAGTGACTCCAAGATCTTTTTCTGCCTTGGTGGAGCTGAGAAGGTCGCCCCCCAGCCTGTAGGTAGGATGGCAGTTCTTCCTCCCTAGATGCAGCACCTTGCACTTGTCCTTATTGAATTGGATCCTGTTGCTTTCTGCCCACTTCCCCAGCCTGTCTAGGTCAGCCTGGATCTGGTTCCTCCTCTCCAGGGTGTTAGGTGCACCCCATAATTTTGTGTCGTCCGCGAATTTGAACAGGGTTCTTCCCACCCCCTCATCCAGATCACTGATGAAGATGTTGAAAGGCACCAGCCCCAGAACTGTGCCCTGAGGGACTCCACTGCACACATTAGTGGGCAGTAGAATCAGATCGTGATGGCTTACTGTCCACAAGGTGATGAATGTGATTTAGGAGAGGTAGAGGGTCTTACAATACTAAATTACCAGTAATCCCAGAACTGGAAGTGATAAAAGTGGGTTTGTGTGTGTTCTTTGGGTTCTGAGCTAAACTTCAGTCGATTTGCTTTTTTGTCTTCGGTTCAACTTACAGTTTTATCATTAAAATATTCAATTAATTAAAAGTCAGTGGTGCATTATATGTTACTAGTTGGAACAGTGAATATGTCACTTCACAGGTCACATTTTCTGACTACCTTCAACTGTTAACTAACATTACAACCCTTTGGGAGGTAAATTATTATTAACCCCATTTTACAGATAGGTTAAGTTCCTGTTCTGAGACTGTTGTAAGAGGTGTCCAGCCTGTGCTTTTTCTTGGGGCTTCAATTTATTTTTACTTTATTTCTGTTTATAACTCTGAGTTGAAGGTACTCTGGATACTCCTACGAATATTGAAAATTCACATTCTAAATGTTATCTTGATGTGTTACAGTCATTTAAAAAAAAATCCATCCCACACAAGGATTCTGATCTTTGTCAAATAAATCACCTTTCTTACCAGTGAGTGGAAATCACTCATTTTAGAAATGTTTGAGAATGACCCAAATATGTAGCTATCAAACAAAACGTATATATAATGTTTTAAATAAAGAATAGATTAAGCACTTTATTGATACGTGTTTCTAGTTAAATTTAATTGAATATATGATTTGTAAGTGTGCAGAGGACACACTCACTGTACCTTGATTTTAGTTGGCAAGATGAAAGGAGATACTTTGTTCTGCTTTTAGAGCTTGATGCTATGATGATTTGAGCATAGTCTGTGAGATTCTGAGAGATTTCTAAAGAACAATGAGTGCTTCTAAATTTCCTTGGAAATGAGATCAGTCTCTAGCTACACCTCATTATATTGTGCATCCTTGTTGACCTCATTAAATGAAATATAAAATTCTTCTTGACTATAATTCCTCGCCACAATTCTTTTCATTGTGGATAGCTTACCATTTCCCCAACTTCTTTTTATATCTTTATTAACATGTTGTTTCTGCTTACTGTGCAGGGACTTAAGCAAGACCTGAAGAACCTCCACTCATTTGCTCTTGAACTTTCCAGAGACTTTCAACATCAATACAAGAATCATCTCTACCAAGTTTTGACTGCAGTCCAAAAGATACAGCTGCAGAATGAAGCTATGCAAAGTAAGGCTTGCTGCATTTACAGCCCAAACATTTACCTCAGGCAATATTTGTGCTAAATGTTAATGTTCATTGTTTTTTATTTGGTTTTGAGACACAAGCCACTTACAGTGTAATCTCTTTTTCCTTCTGGGTTTTGTCTGTCTTGGAGACCTAACACTGGTGTTATAAAAATGACAAATAATTAGATATTTTCACAGGGCAGCTGGGTTGATAAATAGTTTGGATCCACTTTTTATGCTGATTGCAGCTGCTACTAGACTGCTGAGTTGGCCTAACTCCCAACACTTTTAATGTGACATTCTCAGGCTTGTTATCTCGATTCTTTCAGCATAGCTGAATGAGGAATGTGTTACCTTAGCTGAAATTTGTACTTTTGACTGTATCAGAAAAAGTCTCAGGAGATCATAGAAACTTCAAAAAATTGGGTCAGACTTGATTTTGTGAGTGTATTTTTCAAGAGAAAAATATACTTAATTAAAAACAGACACACAGACAGGAAACTGTGGGGAGTAATGCTGGAAGGACTAAATTTCCAATATGCAGTCTTTACATTTCACTTGCAGACATGAATACCTGACAGTATGTACTTTTGTGCACAAGTACTCTCTGTATGTGTAGCTAAGGCCCCCAGAGCTGTAAACCTGAAACTTGGCCCTTGACTATGGAACTCTCCACCTGTTTGGAATCTCATCGACTTTGGTGGGCCTCTACACAGGCATAAAGCTTATCTGATTGTAGGATTAGGGTCCAGATTTTTTAAAACATAATCATAACACTCTGATTTAATTAATCACAAATACAGGAATTCAAGGCAAAAGCCAAAACTGTAGGCCACTGTATTCACAATGAGACCCTGGTATTGCAACACATGAGATACAATTTTTGGTTTTTGGCTGGGGAAGGAGGTGGAATCAGTTATTGTATTTTCTTGCATACAACATGTCCTAAAATATAAAAACACTGTTTTTTTGAAAGGAAGAATGAAGAACAATGCTTTCTCCAAAGGTATGGCTGCATAGAGCAGGGACAGAGCCTAATTTTTAGCTGATTCACCTTCCCTTTCATGCTTAACTAAAGTTGAAAGCCTTGCTGCTGCTAAAGACTGATCACCATGGGTGGATCTATGATTTTGGAAAAAGCTAAGGAGTCTTCAGAGCTGTGAAATAGGAGAGAGACCAGGAGCAACTAGCAGACAGCAAAATTGCCCTAAGAAAGGTTATCTGTATTAGTGGAACCTCCAAAACATTAAGAAGGAGAGACTATCATTAACACCTCTGGAGTAAAAACAATGTGCCACTAAGTCAGTTGACTCCCTCAGTTGCCTAACAAATAATGCCACAGCTGCTGCAGTGTGGAGCAAGGATCAAAGGAGGGTGCTTCTCGCCCATGAAGAAAATCAGCTTCCCTGCTTAATACATTCACCTCAGTTCTGTAGGGCTGATTTTTGGGGGAAAGGTGCATGTTGTATGTGAGAAAATACAGTAGTTCTGAGTCTGGTTTGACTCCAAAGGGACTGAACACAGCGTGGGAACAATCAGCAAGCTCAGTGGTTTACAGAGTGAGTCATCTACATTGTCAGACAGCAATGAAAATGAATATTTTCTGGTTTGTCAGGCAGAGGAATTAAATTAAATCTACATTATGCTGTGTGGGCAGAATGCTTCAGTGTTAAGATAGGAAAAAAGTAGTTAAGCAGGTTACCTTTGTTATAGCAGTGAAGAATAAAATAACAAATTGAGCCAAGATAAGGTTGCCAACACTCCTGGATCAGCCCTTACATTGAGTGTAAAGTAGCTTTAGGATCATTTTTTGAAGGTCTCAGAGTCCTTTGGCCTATTATTGTCTTGGATTTAACACCCATAATGCACTATGCAGTGATGTCAGATTTAAGAGGAACCTCTGCACTTATATCCAAAAGGTATGCCAGTGCTTGGGTAAATCTTATGCATTTTAACTTGCTTTTTCAGTGTCTTTATTTTTATTTTGCATGCTGCAGTATAAATACAAATATGCTATGTAGGGCTATGACCTTGCATTGTGACTTGTGTAGGTACAGCCATTGACTTCAGCAAGGGTCACCACAAGCAGTGCAGGACCTAGGCCTTCTCTAGCAGTAATGTTAAAGAGGCCCATGAATAATATCTTTTTAAGTTACCGGGAATATTTGTAAATTAAACTCTTACATAAATACTAATAATGGTAAACAACAAAAGTATCCAGTGTGATATAGAGTGTGCCTTAAAAACACATTCTTGGGATACATTTGGGTTTGATGGAATCACTAACTCTATCCGCAACCATACTAAAAGATCTTTATAGAGAAACAATCCAGTGGAAAAGATGTTGAGGCATTTTTCTGCTATAATTTTGTTTGACTCAAACAAAATGGGACACAACACATTACAAAGCAGATGGAATAGGGTACACTTATTAATTTTAAATTAATGGGAGGAAGGGGAAAATAGTCTGAACTAATTATTAAATTGTGTTGTGAATATGGTAGAACTTAAACAACCAGAACAGATTTGTAGGAGGGGAAAGATTCTAGTTGGATGTTATCCGATCTGGTAAAACAGATGATAAAAATTTGGCTGACCTCCTTAAAATCTTATGCATAATGAAGAGATTATACTAAGAAAAACATATATTCAGAATAACTGTCGTGAGTTGTGTTCTTCATCTTGCACAACCAGCAGCCCCTTGCTCTCTTTCTCTGTCTACACGTACACCCCCTCCCATTGAGAGAACATATTTTACCTGCCTAAATTTAATCTTAAAAACTGGCCCACGCCGAAATATTTGATAGGGAGATGAACAGTTTAAAGGTGTAAATTCCCTGGCTTGGGTAAGTACAGAGCACACTATAAAACATTTGCAAAATAAAGAAGTAGTTTCTTGTTAGAGCCGTACAACCACATTCTGAAAAACAGAGTATTGCTTTCTTTCCTATGTGAAGTATGAATAATAATGATTTCCAAAATAGGAAAAAATTGATTATCTTCATATAAGCCCATTTCTCCGGTAAATATAAATTGTTGTCATTTTAGCAAACATATTGGCAGACTAATTGGTAGTGATCCTCTTAAGACTCATTCATTAATGGGCTGGAAAAGTTCTGAAAATTTAAAATAACTCTTTTAACTTAGTCTGTCATAGAGAAAAAGGTCTTATCAGCATCTATGGGTACTAAATAGTCTTTGAAAGAGAGAATAAGCTATTGTTATCACTGCTTGGCAAGGTGGAAGCTACTAAGAAACCAAATATAAATCCAGTACCTGGCCCAGTGAATGGGTGGGGGAATCATGACCCTAAACTTCTTGGGGAAAGGTAAGCCCCAAGGAAACTTCTTGGGGAAAGTTAACGCCACCTTTCCATAGGATGAAAAAAAAATTCAGCAGCCCACAGAGCAGTATTACAAATGACACAAAAAGGAACGCTATGTAGAACTGATACATATCGTATTGGGTGCTGACAAACCTGGGGAAAAAACCCCCAGTGCTTTACTGGAAGAGAAATCCTATCTAACCTGGCTCCCCAGTGTCTGTATAGTTTGTGCGCTTCAGTGGGCTTTTTGGCACTTTTAGCTAATAGCTGACTGAATTAACTGTTAGATAAAAATGCCAAGAAGCCATGCTGATGCGCGTGAGCTATAAAGCTGCTGGGTGAGCCGAGTCAAACTGACGCAGTTCCTCTTCTGGGCATGCGCTGTGCTTGGTGTGGGGGTGCGCCAAGCTGAAAGTAAAGTGCTGTTTGGGGACGGGGGGCATGTTCCACACCTGTAAGCACCAATTGAGTCTAAAATAGGGAGTGACAAAAAATTTAAGACTCTTGATGGTTGTTTTGGTGTGAAAGATGCCCTCATGCAGAATAGTTGTGACAATAGTCAAATTAAGTATATTCATAGTTTCATAGTTGTTAGGGTCGGAAAAGACCCCAACAGGTCATTGAGTCCGACCCCCTGCCCTGGGCAGGAAAGAGTGCTGGGGTCAAATGACCCCAGCCAGGTGCTTGTCCAGTATCCTCTTGAAGACCCCCAAGGTAGGAGAGAGCACCACCTCCCTTGGAAGCCCACTCCAGATTCTGGCAACCCTAACCACGAAGAAGTTCTGTCTAATGTCCAACCTAAATCTGCTCTCTGTCAGTTTGTGGCCTTTGTTCCTGGTTATTCCAAGGGGTGCCATCTACTGTAGAAGCCAGGGCAACTCTTCATTGGCTGTGATTGTCGATATTTTTACAGTTTAGATCCACTGTGGAAAGAAAAGGTGAAAAAGTAAAGAAAAGTTGAAAAATGTGGTATTTGCAAATGGTGGCTCTGTCACTCTGTCTGTACCTTATCGTCCCTTTCCCTCGTGCTTTCTCTGTCTTGTACTTCAGCCTTATGTACATTGCAGGGTTGCTGCCCCCATAGCTTTGCTGGAATAGCTGTGGCAGCAGAAACCCCTAGTGTACCCCTAGCAACAAAAGGGTTTTTTGGCTGTCTTTGCTACATCCATATCCCAAATAACTAAAGCTAGCTTGCAGAAGCCCTTTTCTGAGCACTGGGAACAGAAGAAGGTGATTAGGAACAGTCAGCATGGATTCACCAAGTGCAAGTCATGCCTGGCCAGCCTGATTGCCTGATTATTCTATGATGAGATGACTGGCTCTGTGGATACAGGGAGACTAGTGGATGTAATGTATCTTGATGTTAGCAAGGCTTTTGATACCGTCTCCCACAGCAGTCTCTCAGGCAAGCTAAGGAAGTATGGGTTTGATGAATGGACTGTGAGGTGGATAGAAAACTGGCTGGATCATTGGGCTCAAAGGGTAGTAATCAATGTCTTGATGTCTAATTGGCAGCTGGTATCAAGTGGATTGCCCCAGGGCTCAGTTCTGGGGCCGGTTTTCAATATTTTCATCAATGACCTGGAAGGTAACATAGAGTGCACCCTCGGCAAGTTTGCAGATGACACCAAGCTGGGGGGAAGGAGTAATACACTGGAAGGTAGGGCTAGGATTCA